TGACTCCACCCGTCTCACAGCCATAACCCAACGCCGAACTGAATGGGTTGCGAGAACCCATATTGTCCAGAAGTTCGCTGCGTTGAGTGGCGAGTGGTATCATGAGGATTGCGGAGGTGGTGACGCAGAATGCACTGTGTCACCCATGATGATGCTGAATGTAAGGGCCCGTGAGAGAGAAAGTCACTTGTATGACTAGGAATTGGATGTCGTGGTGATTGGTGACACATAGATTCAAAATAAAAGGTATATATATGATATCTCTTCTTAATGTGTTGTGTCACCAGTCACCCTATGTACCGGGCAACGAGGATAAGCAGTGATGAGTCGTCAAATTGTGAGAGGATTCAAGCCACCCGACGGTGACACGATCATTTAAATGGTCGGTGCATAACCCCGCGAACAATTTGTGGGAGATGTGGTATCGAGTAGTTCTCCTGGATACCACTTCTTCCGAACTTCGTCCGAGAAAGACCCTTCGTCGGAACGACTGAAGGGATGTGAGTGTCTGTGAAAGGTCTCGAGCTTCAGGGTGAAAAGCGAAGTCCGGCTGCAGGTCGTGAAGGTCTGTGAGGGACGAACGCGAAATCGGTGCGCAGATTGTGGGGGAGCGTGAGTGATAAAAGTCAAATCGTCGGGCATGCCCTCTTTTGTGATTGACTGTGACAGCGCGAAAGAGCAACGCACGCTGATCGTGTTGTGTGAACGTGTGAGACGAACGCGAATTTGGCGTGCAGGCAGTGCTGTATGAAAGACCATGAGTGGTGAAAGCGAGTGATGAAAGCGAAATGCGCAGCATGCACGAGAGGGAAGACGAAATTTCACGCAGCCTGATAGAGAACATGCCAGTTGCGAAGTCGCTGCCCATGGAGGTCCGTGGCCGCCAACCTTTCCACCGTAGCGTAATGGTTAGAATCCTCGGCTATCACTCGTAGGGCGCAGGTTCAATCCCCGGGATCGGAAAGTACGGAGTCGGCAATGTGCCGAAATGAGCGACTGGAGTGTCTGCGCAGAGTCAGAGGAGTTGGTGAGCGACGGCACTCAGGGATGGAAGAGCTCCGACTCGAGGATGAATCGCCTATCGGAATTCGCGTCGTCGCTAACGGTGTTAGCTGCAGCTCCTCCATGCTGGCACAATGGTCAGTCTTCACGCCTTTCACTCAGGAGACCCAGGTTCGATACCTGTTGCCGTCACGTACGGAATCGTTAAAGTTCGGATATGAGCATAAGTCGGCGCCACAGAGAGCCAGAGCGCGCCGTGAGTGATGCAGTGGAGTCGTGCAAGCCACGCGCACAAGTGCTTCAACCCCGCACCCCCTGGACATTGTTGAACAGCCCTGAAATTCACCACGCGCGGGAGTCATCTTCTACCGGGTCGTGCCTGCGTGCACTTTGTTGCCTCCAACATTGTCCAGGGGGAGTGGGGAAAGCTGATTTTCTGTCTCTATCGCATACTCCTTGATGTCAGCTACCCTCCCATGACCGTGATTCCGACTTTGCGCACGCGTGGACTGAAAAGGAGCAAAAAAACTTTTTACACTTCTCGATTTGTGCGTGTCATCCTTGCGCAGGGGCCATGCTAATCTTCTCTGTATCGTTCCAATTTTATCGGATACCCCCTAAGGGGTCCGACTATATACGCAGGGCATGCAGGGCTACCCTGTGGAGTTGGTCTGGTTCCGATTGGTGCGGTATTGAGAGAATACGGATACATTAAGTTGAGCTTGGTGCCGTACGCGAGCCCTGAGCCAGGTTCAATTCCTAGTCACGGCATCTCTTCCCTTCCCGCAGGCTTCCAAACGCGTCTTCGGCTTCCCACTCAGGTTCGATTCTCCGGTCTCCCTGGACTCCTCCCACTGCACGGCCTTCGATCTCGAGTTGACGCCGGTTCGATTCTCAGTGACTGCCGTTCTAACCCTTCGCTCGCATTCCACCACTATCGCTGACTCCACCCGTCTCACAGCCATAACCCAACGGCGAACTGAATGGGTTGCGAGAACCCATCTTGTCCAGAAGTTCGCTGCGTTGAGTGGCGAGTGGTATCATAAGGATTGCGGAGGTGGTGATGCAGAATGCACTGTGTCACCCATGATGATGCTGAATGTAAGGGCCCGTGAGAGAGAAAGTCACTTGTATGACTAGGAATTGGATGTCGTGGTGATTGGTGACACAGAGATTCAAAATAAAAGGTATATATATGATATCTCTTCTTAATGAGTTGTGTCACCAGTCACCCTATGTACCGGGCAACGAGGATAAGCAGTGATGAGTCGTCAAATTGTGAGAGGATTCAAGCCACCCGACGGTGACACGGTCATTTAAATGGTCGGTGCATAACCCCACGGGCAATTTGTGGGAGATGTGGTATCGAGCGGAACTCCTGCATACCACTTCTTCCGAATTTCGTCTGAGAAAGACCCTTCGTCAGAACGATTGATGGGGTGTGAGTGTCAGTGAAAGAGCTCGAGTTTCACTCTTAAAAGCGAAGTCCGACTGCAGGTCGTGAAGGTTTGTGGAAGATGAACGCGAAATCGGTGCGCAGACCGTGAGGGAGTGTGAGTGATAAAAGCGAAATCACCGTGCAGGCCCTCTTTTGTGACTGACTGTGACTACGCGAAATAGCAACGCACGCTGATCGTGTTGTGTGAACGAGTGAGACGAAAACGAATTGGGCGTGCAGTTAGTGCTGTATAAGACCATGAGTGATGAAAGCGAAATGCGCAGTAGGCACGAAAGGAGAAGACGAAATTTGACGCAGCTTGATAGAGAAAATGCCATGTTGCGAAGTCGCTGGGCACGGAGGTCCATGGCTGCCTACCTTTCCACCGTAGCGCAATGGTTGGAATTCTCGGCTATCACTCGTAGGGCGCAGGTTCAATCCCCGGTGTGGGTAAGTACGGATTGAGCAACGTACCGAAATGAGTGAGAACGGGCGCCGCTCAGAGTCTGAGGAGTTGGTGAGCGACGGCACTCAGTGATGGAAGAGATCTGACTCGACAATGACTGACTTATCGGAATTCGCGGCCTCGCTAACGGTGTTAGCTGCAGCTCCTCCGTGTTGGCGCAATGGTTAGCATTCACGCCTATCACTCAGGAGGCCCAGGCTCGATTCCTGCTGCCTTCAAGTACTGAATCGTCAAAGTTCGAATATGTGCGTAAGTCGGACCCGCAGGTAGCCAGATCGCGCCGTGAGTGATGCAGTGGGGTCCTGCAAGTTGTGCGCACAAGTGCTTGAACCCCGCACCCCCTGGACATCGTTGACCACCCCTAAAATCCATCACGCGCGGGAGTTAGCCTCCACCGCGTCGTGCCTTCGTGCACTTTGTCGCCTCCAACATTGTCCAGGGGGTGTGGGGAAAGGGGATTCTCGGTCTCTATTGCGTACTCCTTGATGTCAGCTACCCGCCCATGACCGTAATTCCGACTTTGCGCACGTGTGGTGTGAATGAGGAGCAAAAAAACTTTTTACACTTCTCGATTTGTGCGTGTCATCCTTGCGCAGGGGCCATGCTAATCTTCTCTGTATCGTTCCAATTTTATCGGATACCCCCTAAGGGGTCCGACTATATACGCAGGGCATGCAGGGCTACCCTGTGGAGTTGGTCTGGTTCCGATTGGTGCGGTATTGAAAGAATACGGATACATTAAGTTGAGCTTGGTGCCGTACGCGAGCCCTGAGCCAGGTTCAATTCCTAGTCACGGCATCTTTTCCCTTCCCGCAGGCTTCCAAACGCGCCTCCGGCTTCCCACTCAGGTTCGATTCTCCGGACGACCACCTTTCTCCAGGACTCCTCCCACTGCACGGCCTTCCATCTCGAGTTGACGCCGGTTCGATTCTCAGTGACTGCCGTTCTAACCCTTCGCTCGCATTCCACCACTATCGCTGACTCCACCCGTCTCACAGCCATAACCCAACGGCGAACTGAATGGGTTGCGAGAACCCATCTTGTCCAGAAGTTCGCTGCGTTGAGTGGCGAGTGGTATCATAAGGATTGCGGAGGTGGTGATGCAGAATGCACTGTGTCACCCATGATGATGCTGAATGTAAGGGCCCGTGAGAGAGAAAGTCACTTGTATGACTAGGAATTGGATGTCGTGGTGATTGGTGACACAGAGATTCAAAATAAAAGGTATATATATGATATCTCTTCTTAATGAGTTGTGTCACCAGTCACCCTATGTACCGGGCAACGAGGATAAGCAGTGATGAGTCGTCAAATTGTGAGAGGATTCAAGCCACCCGACGGTGACACGGTCATTTAAATGGTCGGTGCATAACCCCACGGGCAATTTGTGGGAGATGTGGTATCGAGTAGTTCTCCTGGATACCACTTCTTCCGAACTTCGTCCGAGAAAGACCCTTCGTCAGGAACGACTGAAGGGGTGTGAGTGTCAGTGAAAGAGCTCGAGTTTCACTCTTGAAAGCGAAGTCCGACTGCAGGTCGTGAAGGTCTGTGAGAGATGAACGCGAAATCGGTGCGCAGACCGTGAGGGAGTGTGAGTGATAAAAGCGAAATCACCGTGCAGGCCCTCTTTTGTGATTGACTGTGACTACGCGAAAGAGCAACGCACGCTGATCGTGTTGTGTGAACGAGTGAGACGAAACGCGAATTTGGCGTGCAGGCAGTGCTGTATGAAAGACCATGAGTGATGAAAGCGAAATGCGCAGTAGGCACGAGAGGGAAGACGAAATTTGACGCAGCTTGATAGAGAAATGCCATGTTGCGAAGTCGCTGGGCATGCGGAGGTCCATGGCCGCCAGCTCCTCTCCACCGTAGCGTAATGGTTGGAATTCTCGGCTATCACTCGTAGGGCGCAGGTTCAATCCCCGGTACGGGTAAGTACGGATCCGAGCAACGTACCGAAATGAGCGACTGGAGTGTCTGCGCAGAGTCAGAGGAGTTGGTGAGCGACGGCACTCAGGGATGGAAGAGATCCGACTCGACAATGACTGACTTATCGGAATTCGCGGCCTCGCTAACGGTGTTAGCTGCAGCTCCTCCGTGCTGGTGCAATGGTTAGCATTCACGCCTATCACTCAGGAGGCCCAGGTTCGATTCCTGCTGCCGTCAAGTACGGAATCGTCAAAGTTCGGATATGTGCGTAAGTCGGCTTCTCAGAGAGCCAGATCGCGCCGTGAGTGATGCAGTGGGGTCCTGCAAGCCATGCGCACAAGTGCTCCAACCCCGCACCCCCTGGACATTGTTGATGACCCCTGAAATTCATCACGCGCGGGAGTTAGCCTCCACCGCGTCGTGCCTGCGTGCACTTTGTCGCCTCCAACATTGGTCCAGGGGGGTGCGGGGAAAGAAGATTCTTCGACTTTACCGTGTACTCCTTGATGTCAGCTACCCTTCAATGACTGCCATCTCGATTCCGCGCACGCGTGGAGTGAGGAGGAGCAAAAAACTTTTTACACTTCTCGATTTGTGCGTGTCATCCTTGCGCAGGGGCCATGCTAATCTTCTCTGTATCGTTCCAATTTTATCGGATACCCCCTAAGGGGTCCGACTATATACGCAGGGCATGCAGGGGCTACCCTGTGGAGTTGGTCTGGTTCCGATTGGTGCGGTATTGAAAGAATACGCATACATTAAGTTGAGCTTGGTGCCGTACGCGAGCCCTGAGCCAGGTTCAATTCCATGTCACGGCATCTCTTCCCTTCCTGCAGGCTTCCAAACGCGTCTTCGGCTTCCCACCCAGGTTCGATTCTCCGGACGACCACCTTTCTCCAGGACTTCCCCCACTACGCCGCTTTCGATCGCGAGTTAACGCCGGTTCGATTCTCAGTGACTGCCGTTCTAACCCTTCGCTCGCATTCCACGACTATCGCTGACTCCACCCGTCTCACAGCCATAACCCAACGCCGAACTCAATGGGTTGCGAGATCCCATCTTGTCCAGAAGTTCGCTGCGTTGAGTGGCGAGTGGTATCATAAGGATTGCGGAGGTGGTGATGCAGAATGCACTGTGTCACCCATGAAGATGCTGAATGTAAGGGCCCGTGAGAGAGAAAGTCACTTGTATGACTAGGAATTGGATGTCGTGGTGATTGGTGACACTGAAATTCAAAATAAAAATGTATATATATGATATCTCTTCTTAATGTGTTGTGTCACCAGTCACCCAATGTACCGGGCAACGAGGATAAGCAGTCATGAGTCGGCATATTCTGAGAGGATTCAAGCCACCTGACGGTGACACGGTCATATAAATGGTCGGTGCATAACCCCACGGCCAATTTATGGGAGATGTGGTATCGAGTAGTTCTCCTGGATACCACTTCTTCCGAACTTCGTCCGAGAAAGACCCTTCGTCGAAACGACTAAAGGGGTGTGAGTGTCAGTGAAAGAGCATGAGTTTCACTCTTGAAAGCGAAGTCCGGCTGCAGGCCGTGATAGTCTGTGAGAGATGAACGCGAAATCGGTGCGCAGACCGTGAGGGAGTGTGACTGATAAAAGCGAACTCGCCGTGCAGGTCCTTTTTTGTCACAGTGATTGACTGTGTCTACGCGAAAGAGCAACGCGCGCTGATTGTGTTGTGTGAACGAGTGAGGCGAACACGAATTTGGCGTGCAGGTAGTGCTGTATGAAAGACCATGAGTGATGAAAGCGAAATGCGCAGTAGGCACGAGAGGGAAGACGAAATTTCATGCAGCTTGATAGAGAAATTGCCATGTTACGAAGTCGCTGGGCATGCGAGTCCATGGCCGGCAGCTCCTCCACCGTAGCGTAATGGTTAGCTTTCATGTCTATCATTCGGAGGGCCCAGGTTCAATCCCCCGGTACGGGTAAGTACGGATCCAGCAACGTACCGGAATGAGCGACTGGAGTGTCTGCGCAGAGTCAGAGGAGTTGGTGAGCGACGGCAGTGCCGTCACGGCACTCAGGGATGGAAGAGATCCGACTCGACAATGACTGACTTATCGGAATTCGCGGCCTCGCTAACGGTGTTAGCTGCAGCTCCTCCGTGCTGGTGCAATGGTTAGCGTTCACGCCTATCACTCAGGAGGCCCAGGTTCGATTCCTGCTGCCGTCAAGTACGGAATCGTCAAAGTTCGGATATGTGCGTAAGTCGGCTTCTCAGAGAGGCAGATCGTGCCGTGAGTGATGCAGTGGGGTCCTGCAAGCCATGCGCACAAGTGCTCCAACCCCGCACCCCCTGGACATTGTTGATGACCCCTGAAATTCATCACGCGCGGGAGTTAGCCTCCACCGCGTCGTGCCTGCGTGCACTTTGCCGCCTCCAACATTGGTCAGGGGGTGCGGGGAAAGAAGATTCTTCGACTTTACCGTGTACTCCTTGATGTCAGCTACCCTTCAATGACTGCCATCTCGATTCCGCGCACGCGTGGAGTGAGGAGGAGCAAAAAACTTTTTACACTTCTCGATTTGTGCGTGTCATCCTTGCGCAGGGGCCATGCTAATCTTCTCTGTATCGTTCCAATTTTATCGGATACCCCCTAAGGGGTCCGACTATATAAGCAGGACACGCAGGGGTACCCTGTGGAATTGGTTTGGTTCCGATTGGTGCGGTATTGAAAGAATACGCATACATTAAGTTGAGCTTGGTGCCGTACGCGAGCCCTGAGCCAGGTTCAATTCCATGTCACGGCATCTCTTCCCTTCCTGCAGGCTTCCAAACGCGTCTTCGGCTTCCCACCCAGGTTCGATTCTCCGGACGACCACCTTTCTCCAGGACTTCCCCCACTACGCCGCTTTCGATCGCGAGTTAACGCCGGTTCGATTCTCAGTGACTGCCGTTCTAACCCTTCGCTCGCATTCCACGACTATCGCTGACTCCACCCGTCTCACAGCCATAACCCAACGCCGAACTCAATGGGTTGCGAGATCCCATCTTGTCCAGAAGTTCGCTGCGTTGAGTGGCGAGTGGTATCATAAGGATTGCGGAGGTGGTGATGCAGAATGCACTGTGTCACCCATGAAGATGCTGAATGTAAGGGCCCGTGAGAGAGAAAGTCACTTGTATGACTAGGAATTGGATGTCGTGGTGATTGGTGACACTGAAATTCAAAATAAAATGTATATATATGATATCTCTTCTTAATGTGTTGTGTCACCAGTCACCCAATGTACCGGGCAACGAGGATAAGCAGTCATGAGTCGGCATATTCTGAGAGGATTCAAGCCACCTGACGGTGACACGGTCATATAAATGGTCGGTGCATAACCCCACGGCCAATTTATGGGAGATGTGGTATCGAGTAGTTCTCCTGGATACCACTTCTTCCGAACTTCGTCCGAGAAAGACCCTTCGTCGAAACGACTAAAGGGGTGTGAGTGTCAGTGAAAGAGCATGAGTTTCACTCTTGAAAGCGAAGTCCGGCTGCAGGCCGTGATAGTCTGTGAGAGATGAACGCGAAATCGGTGCGCAGACCGTGAGGGAGTGTGACTGATAAAAGCGAACTCGCCGTGCAGGTCCTTTTTTGTCACAGTGATTGACTGTGTCTACGCGAAAGAGCAACGCGCGCTGATTGTGTTGTGTGAACGAGTGAGGCGAACACGAATTTGGCGTGCAGGTAGTGCTGTATGAAAGACCATGAGTGATGAAAGCGAAATGCGCAGTAGGCACGAGAGGGAAGACGAAATTTCATGCAGCTTGATAGAGAAATTGCCATGTTACGAAGTCGCTGGGCATGCGAGTCCATGGCCGGCAGCTCCTCCACCGTAGCGTAATGGTTAGCTTTCATGTCTATCATTCGGAGGGCCCAGGTTCAATCCCCGGTACGGGTAAGTACGGATCCAGCAACGTACCGGAATGAGCGACTGGAGTGTCTGCGCAGAGTCAGAGGAGTTGGTGAGCGACGGCAGTGCCGTCACGGCACTCAGGGATGGAAGAGATCCGACTCGACAATGACTGACTTATCGGAATTCGCGGCCTCGCTAACGGTGTTAGCTGCAGCTCCTCCGTGCTGGTGCAATGGTTAGCGTTCACGCCTATCACTCAGGAGGCCCAGGTTCGATTCCTGCTGCCGTCAAGTACGGAATCGTCAAAGTTCGGATATGTGCGTAAGTCGGCTTCTCAGAGAGGCAGATCGTGCCGTGAGTGATGCAGTGGGGTCCTGCAAGCCATGCGCACAAGTGCTCCAACCCCGCACCCCCTGGACATTGTTGATGACCCCTGAAATTCATCACGCGCGGGAGTTAGCCTCCACCGCGTCGTGCCTGCGTGCACTTTGCCGCCTCCAACATTGGTCAGGGGGGTGCGGGGAAAGAAGATTCTTCGACTTTACCGTGTACTCCTTGATGTCAGCTACCCTTCAATGACTGCCATCTCGATTCCGCGCACGCGTGGAGTGAGGAGGAGCAAAAAACTTTTTACACTTCTCGATTTGTGCGTGTCATCCTTGCGCAGGGGCCATGCTAATCTTCTCTGTATCGTTCCAATTTTATCGGATACCCCCTAAGGGGTCCGACTATATAAGCAGGACACGCAGGGGTACCCTGTGGAATTGGTTTGGTTCCGATTGGTGCGGTATTGAAAGAATACGCATACATTAAGTTGAGCTTGGTGCCGTACGCGAGCCCTGAGCCAGGTTCAATTCCATGTCACGGCATCTCTTCCCTTCCTGCAGGCTTCCAAACGCGTCTTCGGCTTCCCACCCAGGTTCGATTCTCCGGACGACCACCTTTCTCCAGGACTTCCCCCACTACGCCGCTTTCGATCGCGAGTTAACGCCGGTTCGATTCTCAGTGACTGCCGTTCTAACCCTTCGCTCGCATTCCACGACTATCGCTGACTCCACCCGTCTCACAGCCATAACCCAACGCCGAACTCAATGGGTTGCGAGATCCCATCTTGTCCAGAAGTTCGCTGCGTTGAGTGGCGAGTGGTATCATAAGGATTGCGGAGGTGGTGATGCAGAATGCACTGTGTCACCCATGAAGATGCTGAATGTAAGGGCCCGTGAGAGAGAAAGTCACTTGTATGACTAGGAATTGGATGTCGTGGTGATTGGTGACACTGAAATTCAAAATAAAATGTATATATATGATATCTCTTCTTAATGTGTTGTGTCACCAGTCACCCAATGTACCGGGCAACGAGGATAAGCAGTCAT